CCCCAGGGAAATGCAGCAGGCAGATCCTCCTGGGCACCCCTGGGTGCTCCTGCCAGGGTTTGTGTGCCAGCCCCAGGGAAATGCAGCAGGCAGATGCCATCTCCTGCATTTCCTGCACGCCGATTTCCTGGCGCTGCTCTGCTGATTTATCCTGCCCTGCCCAGCCCAGCCCTCCTCAGAGCCCTTCTCACGGCTGTGCTCCGTGCCAGGGCCTCGTTTTTCCAAGGAACAACTTTTTTTTGGTGGGGTGGAGGTGACTGGAGACCTTTTCCCTGCCCTGTCTGGTCCCGCGAGTCGCGGGCGGAGGCACGAGGGGAAATTTGGGATGTGGGGAGGGCACTGAGCAGAGCCAGGCCCCACGGCTGCCAAACAGCCCTGAAGGAGCCCCAGGTCTGGGCAGAAAACCCCAAAATCCTCAGCTGAGAGCCACGGAATTCTCCCCCAGCCCTTGCCAGGGTGAGCAGCCCACCGTGGGCAGGGAGAGAAGCTGCTGTAAATGAAGGGGAAGGTTCTGCTTAATCCTGCTCCGATGGGAGATCAGCAGGCGGGGGGCTGAGAAATGGGTTCGTGGATTTGCAGGCCAGAAGGAGCTTTTATCCCGGGATTTTCATTCCATGCCCTGAATTTCTGGGGGCTGTGCAGGGCCAGGGCAGAGGGAATCGCTGCTGTGGGGGACAGGGCCAGCAGCAGCTCCTGCAGCCCCCGTGTCACACACGGGCTCCGACCCCGCTGCTCCTGAAACATCTGAATTTCCAGGGGAGCTCTGCCTGGAATTTTCCTCATTCCCAGCACTTCTCCTGGAGCTGAAGGCAGCATGTGCCTCCCCCGGCCCAGGCCCAGCCTCAGGGGACATTTCCCTGCTCCAAAAGGGGGGAAATCCCCCTGAATTTCACCCTTTTTTGCCCTAGAGGGGCTGCAGGGCAGGAGCTGCTCTCCCTGCGGATCTTCCAGCATCCCTGGTGCCCTCCCAGCCCTGCTCGCCCTGCCTGGCCGAGGTCCTGCGGTGCCAGGGGATCCTTGGCTGCTGGGGCTCCGTGCTGGCACGTTTGTGTGTCTGGACACCCCCAGAGGCAGCTCCAGACTTTAGGGGATGGATTTGGGCTCTCCTGGCTTCGGGGCAGCTCCAGAGGCTCAGCTCTGCAGCAGGAGGGGATCATGGCACGGTTTGGGTGGGAAGGGGCCACAAAGCCCACCCAGCTCCCCTGGCACGGGCAGGGCACCCTCCCCTGTGCCAGGCTGACCTAAAGTCTTGCCAAGGCAGCAGACAGCCCTGGGTCTCCTCCTGGATGCTGCTGGGATCCCCATCCCAGGTGCCACCACCAGAGCACACCTGAGGGGGACAGTGGCACCAGCGTCACCCGTGCTGCCCCCAGCCCTCGTGTCCTGCTCCTGTGTCCTCCCCCCGGGTGTTCGGTGTGAAAATCTCCATTTTCACACCACAGCTGATCTTTCCTCTCTCTCTCTTCACCTCTTCCCCCCGTCTCTAGGAAGAAGAGCAGAAGCAGGCAGTAAGTCGACTTCACGTTGTTGCTGACCCTTGTTGCTGAGCCCGGTTTGTGTGCTGAGCCCGGTTTGTGTGCGTGCCCCGGAGGTTCCCCTCCCTCCGTCCCTCCCTTCCCGGGAGTCCTCGGCCTGCTGGGGCTTTTGGGGAAGGGTTTTCTGGCCATGGGATCGGGGATTCTCCGCTGGCTCCGTGCCTGACCTGTGGGAGCCCTGGGGAGAAAGCGTTCTCGTCTCTCCAGGAATCCTCTCGTTCTCCTCCTTGCCACCAGGAGGACGAGTCCGGGCACGAAAAGTAATTAATGACTGGAAAGTAATGAATGACTGAGTACCGCGGGCACGGCTCCATGTCCTGCGGGGCTCAGCGGCTCCGGGACGGGCCAGGGCGCTCCTGGCAGACGGGAGGGGGGAAGGAGGGGAGGCAGCAGCGCCCGGGCTTTGTTCCCTTGGATCGCGTGGG